TTGTTCAACTTTTCAAAATTGATTTCCATTGTGTTGGGTTCTGTCAAAAGGTCTTTTCTCTCAGAAGAAGCCATGGCAACTTATGACTCTTTCTGTTGGGTTGGGTCACAAAATATAGACATGTTCACAGGATTTTCTGAAGGATCACGCGTTGACACTGCAAGTCCAATTTTGTCAATGACTACTGTTTCAAATGGGCTGCGACAAAGTCATTCCTTTGTCATGGTTCATGCCCAGTATGACTTGTGACTGGAGTTGACTTTTGACACACTTGCGGTCAACTCTTTTCAACAATTGTTTGATATTTAGCTGTGTGAAACACATTTTCTTGGTCAAACTTTTTCAGAGATATGTCCAACAAACTCCATTTGCTTGTAATAACTTAATCCTGCAGTGTTGTATTTGAATGTGCGACGAGCCAATCACAAGGAGCGGGCATGAACAATAACAATGGAATGCTTTGTTATGGTTCCTTGAATAACTTTTGACTTGACTTAAGACTGAAGGAGTTGTGATGGACTTATAATGGCTTGTGATGGACTGGACTTCTACACTCCTCCATCTTTTATTCTCATCATACCAGTTTGTATTCTCGGGGCAAATGCTGTATTCAGACTCCTCCCAGGCATCTGCGTATTTGTTCCATGTAAGACTCCGGCTCTTGACAGTGAGACGCTTGCCTCTGCGGTCGTGCCACGTCTCTTCTTCCAGATACACTGCATCCTCATTCAGTAGCTGGATCTGAAATTTCAAAAATTATAACCCTTCATTTAAATTTTTTACAGAGAATAGGGTTTCTTTTAGTGAAATAAACAAAATCAAGGAAAACAAAAAGCAAAGCTAAAGATAATTACAACAGTTTGACACTGCATAAATTGCATAAGAACCAGTGGTTTTGAGTCTCACTTTTGAGGGTTAATATAAAAGAAAATGGAAAAACAATTTTCCAGTGTCAAAATTTGTAATTTTATGATTTTTTGGGGCATGTGGCCGGGAGGTTTTTTTGGTTCGAATGAGGTCCCTTGAACGATGAGGAACAAATAAAAAATTTTGGAGTGATTGGAAAAGCCCAGAATGACTTTTGAACTGCCCCATTCAACAGGATCAGCGGTGAAAGGCGAGGGAAGCACACTCATAATATGAGTGCCAACCTGATTCCCCATAATTTTGAAAACCATTGCATATTAACCCTCGCATTTTTGCTGGACCACTGCATAGAGAATGGATTTTACCTTTCTGAAAATGGACGGTAGTATGTTTTTACACGTGGCTACTCGTCGTTTGTATTCCACACCACTTTCTCTATCTGTGGGAAAACAATACATATTCACTGACAATGTTACAATCTTTGTATCAGTTTTGGAATTTTTTCTTCTCAAGAATTAAAGTAAATGTACTCTTGCACCAGTAGCCAAACAAATGTGTTAAGGGGAAAAATTGTACAAAAAATCCGAACTAAGATTGGTCAAATCTATTTGAAAACAATATTTTCAAAAAAAGTTTAAAAAACTGGGGAGGTCAGGGACAGGGTTTTGAGGAAAGGAGTGAGTTTTTTTTGTTAGGGTGAAGGTTTCTTTTCAAAGGAAGGCACAAATGTCACATTCATTAAATTGGATGATCAGTTCATTGAATTGTTGCAGTTTTACCACCACTGACCACTTCAATTAATTAATTTTATAATTAGCGACGTGGCCTACAAATTAATATTATCCCTGTCCCTATTATATTATCCAATATCTTACCTATTCGTTCTTCCACTGTTTTCATTCCAATGACATTTTGTTCTTTGTTGGTAGGATACTGCAAAAAGCAAACAAACAAATTTGACTTCAGTCAATGCATAGGCAAAGATATCCCTTTACATAAACTCTGGTAATAGAAAATTCTGGTATTTTAGTGAGATCACACGAACTAACATGGGAGAAAACTTGACATGCTTATATTTTCTTACCTTTGTAAAATGTGTCCTAACAACCAGATCGAATGGAAACTTGTAAACATGATTAATAATTACTTCAAACATAGTCCCGAAATATGCAGCACACAACAATGGCCTGGGAAGCAGATGAACGTCTTTTGTCTAATTCTGCTCACTTTAAGGTCGCCACAAAAAATTCTAGTGAAATACAACGCACAATGGATTGCGATCCATTCTGTACGTAGGATGCACCTGAGCACCTTCACTGAAGACCAAGTATTATTGAACTGCTGTGCGAAACGTGTGTAGATGCAGGCAAATTTTAAGTACGTAACAACAAAACACGAGTTACATAATCAGCTCAGATAATCCGACCCCGCAAAACATGATGCAAGGATCTCTTTGCTTCCCATACATGGATATTGTCTTTCCGGTTCCAAGACACATCCGAGCTATTAAGTAAGGAGAAAATAAACAAAAAGGTTGCTTAATTTAAAGTGAAACACCAGTCCTGAGCACTGAACAAAAATGAGTAAAAAACGTGCGCCGTCGAGCCCACTCTACGAGAACTATTGAGGGCGCTGTTCATGTGTTGCAAATTTCGCGCAATGCAAAACATGGCAGACGACGCGACGGACGTGTCTACCCCCGACTCCGACGTGAAACTTCTGAAAATTGAAGCGAAGTCTGCAGTGAACGAGGTGAAATTTGCCGTGAAACATGTGGAGATATCAGAGAAGCTTTCCAACACAGACGAACAGGCGTACCTGAATGTGAAGACTAAAGAAGGGGACGAGTTTTGTGTGGAGTGACGGTGCAAGGTTTCCGGGTAAGTTCACGCACGCTCGAGTTCCACGTGTTGTCAACGTTCATTGGCGCTTTGGCGGGATGGCGATCGTGTAATCTGGTTGCGGGCCCGGTTCCCTACAATAAGGGGACCTAAATTAAATTACTTGACTTACCAAACTAGTTGGCGACATTAAGAACATGCAGGTATGTCATAGATAGAGGGCAGGGTTGGAATTTTTGAGGGAAACTTGGGGTAAAATAAAGATTACAACAACAAAACGCAACATGGAAATAAGGATGGCAAGGATGGTGATCACAGTGATGTAGGCCTACTGATACCGTGCAAGGCGTGCTAAATCACATGGCACCAACCGTAATCCTCGTACAAAAATAATTATTTCTACCCCAGAAACTGTCCCAAATTACAAAAAAAGGTGTCATTATTAGAATTGAGAGAAATCTGTTTTAGGTTTATTCACGGAGCTACATGTATAGCTCCATGGTTTAATATAAAAACACGATTGATTGACTCTAATTTGATCGAAACTTAAGAGGGGCCCTATGCTACATGATCGCCATTGAAGTATGGCTAACACTTTCTGAATGGAAGTTTTTTTCAGGCTGAATTATTTTGAGGCTGCCAAACAACCTCACAATTTGTGCAGTATACGTTAACAACTGAAGTCCCGCAAATAGAGTGAAGCTGGTGTTGCGGTAAATTGTCTCATTTTTAAGAATAGGTAATCTTATTTAGAGAAATGAAAAAAATATTTGTGAATTTTAAAAGTAAACAAAACTGTGCAGAATATACAGAGTGTAGTTGTGTGTGGAAATACAAATAGTGAATGTTGCAGTGAAAACAGAAAATACTGCCATCTGTTTTTGGCATTGTAGTCCCTTTAATTATAGAGAAGGGCCAACACAGGAAATGAAGCTCTGCAATATATCAGTAACTAGACAGTGATTAATGCAGCATGGGAGTAGGAAGTATGTACATGTGTAGCAACGGATGCAGTTGTTTTCTCAGAAATGTGCACATGCTTGCAACATTTCCTTTACAATGTAATGATGCGGCAATAATAGGGGATTAACTACATGTGGTCACTGCAACCAAAAACATCTGTTCTCTGTAATTTGACTGGAATATACCCGGTACAGTAACACATCAAGATAAGTAGGCCTAAACCATAAAGTCATATTTTTTTTTTTTACAGGAAGTGGGAGGCCCTTTTTTTCCCCTCCAAAATGGCGCCCGACCGGGCTATTTTACAAGATGGCCGCCATTTCTTTTTAAATGGCCGTCATTGGACTCAGGAAATGACATACCTGCTTTATATGGCTAGATGCAACAGACAAACAGGCCAAAATGATGTCACTGTTAAAAATTTATCATTTTTTTTGGTTATTAAAATAAAAAAAATTTAAAAAAGGAGGTGGCCTCCAAAACACAAGCGGGCGGGGACGATAAACATGTTTTTTTATATGGCCTGATATTCCTTTTTTTCATAACTACTGTTTGATAAGTCACAGACAGTCAATAATTTGTTCCACTTCCCCTGCCATGCACTTGTATACGGACCAGTTAAAACAGTCAGATCACATTTGTGTTAACACTGTGACTAAATTCCATCAGCAGACAAAAGAGGTAACTGGTAGGTACAGCTGAGCAGGCACAT